CAGCTCAGGGACCCAGAATGCAGACGGGTAGATGGCAGATGAAGATCAGGGAAGCTATGGAGCTGAGATCAAATGGAGTTAACTTTGTTTTTAAAAAATGAAAGGAACAGGTTGCATTTTTGAACAGAGTCCTCATGAGACAGTTTAATGGGATTAAGGAGAAGATTTATTGTGGAGAAGAGTTGTTTAGAGTTTCCAGGGCAGTTGTTGATGATGTTAGATTATTATTTGGACCGTGCTTCTTTAAGAGAAAAGGCGTAGGCTTTCTGATGTTCTTTATATGCCTGCTGACGTACAGAGAGACCAGATGATTTTACACGTCTCTCAATAGCACGGCCAGCTGCTTTCATCTTGCGCAGCTCAGCAGTGGACCAAGGGGCTGAACGGGAGAAAGACACCATCCTTGCTTTAAAGGGAGCATGGAGGTCCAGAAGCTCCTGGAGAGACTGGTTGTAGTAATCCACAGAGTCATTTGCAGATGAGTGATTGACAGCGGTCAGGGAGTGGAGATCAGAGGACAGAACCTCAGGGGAAATGTTTTTAAAGTCACGGAACTGGATAAGTCGTTTAGGATTTGGAGCAGACGAAGTTGAAGGCACTTCCAGGGAGATGACACTGTGGTCTGAGACACCCAGGTCATATACAGATAAGTTATTGATAGGTACAGTGTCTGTAATCACCAAATCCAGAGTGTGCCCCCTGTTGTGCGTAGGGGCGTCAACATACTGAGTGAGATTGAGAGAGTCCAAAAGAGACTTAAACTCTGCTGCCAGAGGGGAAGAGGAATTATCAATGTGGATATTTAAATCTCCAAGAATAATATTTTTCACAGGAGATGTGCAGAAAAAAGTGAGAAGGTCATGCATCTCTGAGTTAAATGAAACATGTGGTTTGGGAGGCCGATAAATCAATATAACATTCATCAGGAGGGGGGCTTTGAGGTTGAAGGCCAAACATTCAAAAGACAAAAAGTCCCGAGAAGCTAAATGTGATAATTTTAAATGACTGCGGTAAATTACAGCCGGACCACCACCACGGCCAGTGCAGCGGGCTTTCTGCAGGTAACTGTATCCAGAGGGACAGGCTTCATTCAGAGAGCTGTACACATCTGGTTGATGCCATGTTTCAGTAAGGCACATGAGGTCCAAATTCTTCTCCAGAATATGATCATGAATAAGACATGATTTATTGGATAGTGATTGAGCATTGAAAAGTTCTATTTTAATAATGGTTGGAGTAGAAGCCTTTAGAAGGGGTTTAAGCAGCCTGAAGTCCACTCCACATTTTCCTTGCCACTTCGTGCGCTGTGTTCTTTCAGCAATATCAGGGACTACAGAGGCAGCGTTCTGATGATGTAATCGATGTGCGGCAGGACCGGTAGACCAGATGGAAGGGATGGAGTCAGACACAGCTTGCCGAAAGTAAACAGTTCTCTTCCGAGAGCCTCTATGGACATAACGAGGTCTACGCAGAAGGCCCAGTTGTTTAATGGTAGAAACAGAAGGTGCAATGGAGCAGTTGTTAAGTCCAATCAGCTGGGAGGCGGAGTAGGTCAACATCGATGAGCCAGCCAAGCTTGGGGAAGCTAGCACAGAGCTAGCCGCTAACAGCAGACCCACGGCTCCGAAAAGGATATCCAAAAGGCAGTGTGATGTAATCCACAGCATAGCACAGGAAAAAATCCAGCAAAAGATGACAAACTGGAACAATCCAGATGACACAGGAGGTTGACAGAAGCAGCAAGGTAAGCGCAACAATAATAGTTGCTAGTTCTTCAAGCAAAGTCCGAGCCGCCGTGCTGGAGTTGTATGTTGACAGCAATGGTCCCAAATTCCTGTTAGGGAGTGCTAATTAAGCTGTCTGTTATAAGTACTGATTGAGAAATTACTGAACAAAAATAAGTCCAGATAAATGTCCACGAATATGGCAACAGTATAATGACTTTTTAGCGCGGAGAAGCGGCGAACATGCAGCGCAAGCGTCCTCTCCTCTCAGATGCTTATTGGGTGTTCCAATAAGTAATAGTAAACTACTGTTTACTATGGCAAGAATGGATGGACGTAGAGTAGGAAAAACTACTTTAGTACTACTACTACTACTACTACTTAAAGTACTACTTTCTTTAGTAGTCGAGGGGGGACCACATCAAAGGGGGAACCAGAAGGTTTCAAGCTGCACATGACCTGCTCTAGAGAAGATAGAGTGATGGGTTCAAAATGGTCAAATAGAGCTATAGATTGAGGTGGGATGGATGGGTCATGAGTTGGAGGGGAAATGAGAGCTCTGGTGGTCGCAATTTTTTCCAAAAAGAAATGTAAGAGTTTGTTGCACAGCTCAGTCGAGGCTTCCAGAGGTGATGGTTCAGTGAGGTGGAGAACAGAGTTTAGGGTGGAGAAGAGGACACATGGGTTGTGAGAGTTTGAGGTAATTATATCAGAGAAGTATTTGGATTTAGCAGCTTTCACTGCTTTCTGATAAGGGCGCCAACTCTCTTTAAGTATTTGAAAAGAGACCTGCAGCCTGTCTTTCCTCCAATTTCGCTCCGCCCTCCTATCATCAGAGGTACAGCACAGGTTGAACAACTGGGAGACAAAGTTAGAGAGGACACACTGAGATGGTTTGGACATGTCCAGAGGAGGGACCATGGGTATATTGGTAGAAGGATGTTAGAAATGCAGCTGCAGGAAAAAGACAAAGAGGAGATATATGGATGCAGTTAGAGAGGACATGAAGGTAGTTGGAGTGAGGACAGAGGATGCAGAAGACAGTTAGGTGGAGGAGGATGACTCGCTGTGGCAACCACTGAAGAGGGAAAAGCCAAAAGAAGAAGAAGAAAAAAATTGTATGCATCATTTGTGATTGGCTATTGTTTTCATTGCTGTCCATTGTTGTCATCGTTCTTTGTTGAAATCAGGTCTCTCTTGTAAATGAGTCCTCGAGGCTCAGTGGGATTAACCTGTTTAAATAAAAGTTGAATGAATGAAGACAGGTCCTGGAGCAATGTGGATATCCTAACTGGGCCTTCCTGAAAGCAGAGAAGAAACCCAAACAGGACTCCAGCCAGCCATCAGGTGAAAAGGAGGAACCCAGACCCAGACCAGTGGTCATTCCATATGTTACAGGAGTTTCAGTTTCTTTGTAAATACATTACGGCAAAGACTGGTTCATCCCAAAGATCCAGTCCCCCGGCACAAACAGAGTAATATTGTGTTTGTTATTCAGTGTCAGGAGGGTGATCAGTCTTACATCGGGGAAAATAAACAGCCACTGGCCAAAAGGATGGACCAGCACAGAAGATTAACATCATCTGGCCAGGACTATGCGGTCTTCACTCATCTCCAGGTCAGAGGTCACTCCTTCAGGGATGAAGATGTGCACATCCTGGACAGAGAGGAACGGTGGTTTGAGAGAGGAGTAAAGGAGGCCATCTTTGTGAAAAGAAACCGTCCATCATTAAACAGGGGCGGAGCCTCCAGGTTCAACTGTCCCCCTCTTACAATGCTGTGATTGCTAGTATCACTCAGCCCTCTGTGAACAGTAAACAGCCATCAGGGTGCTAATGATCCATCGTTAGGCTGATCTTCTTCTTCTTCTTTTGTCTTTTCCCTCTTCAGGGGTCGCCACAGCGAGTCCTCCTCCTCCATCTCACTCTGTCCTCTGTGTCCTCTGTCCTCACTCCAACTACCTCCATGTCCTCTCTAACTGCATCCATATATCTCCTCTGTCTTTTTCCTGGCAGCTGCATTTCTAACATCTTTCTACCAATATACCCACTGTCCCTCCTCTGGACATGTCCAAGCCACTGTCCCTCTTCTGGATATGTAAATGGTAAACCGACTGTACTTATATAGCGCCATTCTATCTGATCAAGACACTCAAAGCGCTTTACACACCAATCTGTGTCTCATTTACCCATTCATACAGCACGCTACTAGATCTCTACAAAGCTAATTGAACAAATCATTCTAAAGAGACTAATCAGCATTTTATAACATTCATACATCGATGGGACACACATCGGAGGCAAAGAGGGGTTCACTGTCTTGTCCAGGGACACTTCGGCATGTGACTGCTGGTGGATTCAAACACCCAACTCTTGTATTGGAGGACGACTGCTCTAACCACTCAGCCACAGCCGCCCTATCTATCTCAGTGTGTCCTCTCTAACTTTATCTCCCAGTTGTTCAACCTGTGCTGTACCTCTGATGATCTCATGCCTGATCTTCTCCATCCTTGTCTCTCCTAAGAAGAACCTCAACATCTTCATTTCTGACACTTCCAGTTCTGTCTCCTGTCTTTTTGTCCATGTCTCTGTCTCCAGACCATACAACATAGCTGGTCTCACCACTGTCTTGTAAACTTTTCCTTTGACCTTTGGTGACACCCTTTTGTCACAAATCACTCCTGAAACTTTTCTCCATCACTCCATCCTGCCTGGACTCTCTTCTTCACCTCTTCACCACACTCCCCATTTCCCTGGACAGAGGACCCAAGTCCTTGAAGTCCTGCACCTTTGTGACATCTGCTCCTTGTAGCCTCACTGTTCCACCTCCTCCCTCTCATTCACACACATGGACTCTGTCTTACTACGGCTGACTTTCATTCCTCTTCTTTCAAGTGCATACCTCCACCTCTCCAAGTTCTCTTCCACCTGTTCCCTGTTCTCACCACAGATCACAATGTCATCTGCAAACATCATAGTCCACTTGATTCCTGCCTGACCTCATCTGTTAGTCGGTCCATCACCAGAGCAAACAAGAAGGGGCTCAGAGCCCCACTGTTATGTTGATGGTTCTCCTTGATCAGGTGAACAGCTAGTTCTTGATGTCAACAACAAACTGGTTGATCCACTATGAAAAGGTGTTATTTATAAGACTGAGTTTGTTGCAGCTCCTCAGACTGAAGATGTCCTTTGGATAAAAGTTGAAACGTTTCAACAAGAATCCGTCCAGAGGACCTGACTTTACTTTGTTAGATGAAGTCTGTGGTGTTTCACTCACCATCGCCTGATCATCAACATATGGAGGACGGTGACATGTACAGAGAGAAAAACAAACAAACAAAAAAACCATTAGAGACAAACAAACAGACTTTCCTCTGGGAGAGACTTTAACCTTGAAACCAACTTTTCATTTCTTTACAACCACATACTGCCACTGCTGAAGCTGCTGAAGCTGCTGAAGCTGCTGAGCGGTTCATAGCATCATGTCTGCTACAGTTTTCAAAACACAATCTAACAGTGTAAGGAACTAAATGCAAAAATATGAAACCTCAATAAACCTCAACCTCAACCTTATAAACAAAAATATTTTGTTGAACTTTCCTCAAGTCTTTCCCATTCATATAAAACTTTTAAAAGGCAGTCAGTCCCCAATGACAATGAAATAATATATTTTTAGTTAATATTCAAATAACATGTAGGTAACACGAGGTAAAGGAGTCCCTGTCGCACTGTGGATCTCCTGTAAAAGAAGGCCATGTGAAGACAAAGACTTCTTATGCTGTTATCTTTTAATATTTCTCAACTCTAGGAACAAAAGTCTGGGATTAGTCCTTTTCGATAAGGCTCGGATGTTTCTGAGTTGGGGGTTAGATTAAAGGCCTCTCAGTTCCACAGAACGGCCTCATGGGTTTGGGTCAAACAGTTCACACAATAACAGCTTTTTATTACACAAGTGTCAACTTGGGAAGTTTATGAGCTGAAATAAAGAATGTTTTATAAAATGACATCCGTTTGATCCCAAGGTAAGAGATGAGTGTCTTATTTTAGTAACGGTGTCTTTTTCAGAGGGGAGGTGTGGCTCTACAGTTGTTTGTTGTTGTGTGTACATTATATGTTGTTTGTGTAAATCAAGTTGTTTATTGTTGTGTGTAACTTATCTGTTGTTTGTTTACATCTCATTGTTTATATTTGTGTGTACC